TCTATTCGAGGCCGCAGGCATTGGATCCTTCGAACATTGAGATCGGTGTTCCGCAAGATGATGTGACATTGGTCCCGGGAAAAGTGTCGGAAGTACGCACCATTTTGGAAGGTACAAGCGACGCCACTCCCGAAGAACGCACAGCTAGCAGCAGTGCCGCAAAGAAGGAAGAGATGGAGGCAAATCGCAATACAGCTGTACCACAGATCGAGAGTGGATATTTTCTACATCTTCGAACTTTCAGCTGCGATAAATGTACGACACTTTCCTTAGCAGGAATGGCATCTTGTCATCGATGCGGAGTAGTATTTCAGAGCAATACAACAGATGGACCGATTTCAAAGTTTATGCGACTTCAGATGAGGCGTGCAAAGGTGCTACAAGAGCAGGGGGGCGTGCCCAAGAACATGACCGCAACAAGCATGCTTGACAGCATTGCCGCGCAGGACCTACAGTCTGGACGACCTCCAGCTCGTGGCAGCCCGTCAGTTGACAGTCAGATTATTCTTGCAGCTCGCAGTCGCCTTCGCAAAGCATTGAAATCAGGGTATGAGAATGTATTCGATCGATTCAACCGCGACGACGTCTTCGCCACCTCCTTAACCGGAGAAGGATGCACAGCGTTTGATGCAGCGCAAGAAGACTTGTTTGCGTCACTGCAATTACCGGCACCCACGAGATCAGCGAAGCAGAGATCAAAAGGGAAGTCGGTTGTCAGTGATTTGGATCGACTGGACAGGGTTGACCTCGCCAAGCTCGCGTATATTCGATGCGGTGTTGACAACCTACATACCTGTTTCAAGCAAGGCGTCGACGAGGACTTTCTGATCAGTTATCGCCGAGAGTTTATGTCACTCCGACAATACGCCGCCGTAATTGGCGATAGCCGAGATGAGATCAAGATCCAGGGCTTTATCCCCACGACGGACGTCTATGGCGATATTCATTCAATTCGTATTCCTCGTGGAGACACGACAGGCATTTACAAGATTTTGAGTGAGTTTGCAGAGCAGAATGAAAGTTATGCAAACATTCAATATCAGAGAAACGCGCAACAGTCTGCAAATATGCAGGGACGCGATCGTGGACAGCCAGTTTCACAGATGGGCTTCATGAACATCGAACAGCGCATGGCCACGCCTTATCCCAAGTTTGCCGATTGTGGCCAGGACATGTCATCTGACGAAGTCAGAAGGTTGGAAGAACTTTTGTTGGAGTTTGGACAGCGTGGATCCCCATCTCCTCAAGGACCTGTAACAAGGCCCCCGTTGACGCGGAAGCGATCGCAGATGTATATGGAGACTATTGGAGATGCAGACAAACGACCGAGGCTGCAGTGGAGGAGGAAAGAAGACCGAGATCAATCTGGTCGTATTGCAACTTGGGTTGACAACCGGACTCCACCGCCAGGCGTGCCTCAGCCGCCAGCTCCCGTAACAGGGACGCATACCTCGTCGGTATTCCGTATGAATGCACCTCCTGTTCAAGGACAAGTATCAGGCAAAGGAGACTCCCATAAACGGGATGCCAGTGTGCGAGGAGATGTTGCCGGTAAGGGCAAAGGGCAAGGCAGTTCTTCTGCGTCAGGTTCCACTGCTCCCGCAAAAGGGACGCCACGTGGTTCAGTTGCCCGTGCAATATCTCGCAGCCGTGAAGACCTTCCACCTAAGCGTGGCAACATTCCCAAGGACCTTTTGGGTCCTCCACTTCGCACTCCACCATCCACTCCTGCAAAACCGTCAATCCCAAAGCCTCCTTCCAATCCACCGTCAGTACCGGTGAAAGAGGCCCCAGCATCACCACCTCCACCACCTGCACCAAATGATGCACCAACGGCCGGCTTATCCCCGGCTTCAAAACCACGTCCAGCAAAACCTTCACCTCCGAAGGTCCCACCAACAAAGGTGCCTCCTCCAAAGGTTCCTCCACCGAAAGTGCCACCCAATACAGCCAGTGGCATTCCGGTACATACAAGGCCGACAGATTTCAATCTCACGCCGAAGCCGCCGCCGCTTACAGACCTTTACAGTCGGTTGCAACCTTCCGTAAAAGGAAAGGGCAAGGATAAGCAGCAGGTGAGTGTTCGAGGAGGACCTTATGCTCCACAGCAATGGAATGTACAAAACGTGCCACCGCCGCCATTGCCACCCGGAACTTCATCCGCTTCGGCATCATCGTCACATAATGCACCCTTAACTGGGCCGCCGACTTCCAGCATTCGTGGAACTATTGATCGACCATTGGAACCCTTTGATTTTCCTGGAGTACAATGGCAACGCGATGACCCATGGGGCGAGAACTATTGGCCCAATCACATGGAATTGTGGGAGTGGTTGAGGCAGGGATGGCATGACGAGACGGAGCGTTTTGGAATACAATTTCTTTAAGCAGATGTTGAATAGCTACCATAAATGGTATGCCTTGCAGCTTATGAGTGTTGAGATAAAGATCACCTTCTGACGCGCTGTGAGATGATGTTTCACTTCATTGTCTCACTTCCCAATGCATCCATAACAGGATTGCCATAGTCGGAGAGTGAACTTTTAATCAATGCTTAACACTAACCTGGGCCTAGCATGTTTAACCACATGCCGAGTGAGGCGAAAACTGTACATTAGGGTAGCTACGTTCTCCTTGTATAGTGCATGCAAGAGCTTGATGAGGGATTTCTAATATGATTCCTTCGTCGCTAGAATTTGATCCTCCCCGAGATTTTCCCTACGGGTAGCTCCTTGTAAAGGGGGGTGTTGAAATTCACCTCATCCCCATGGACCCCGTAGCGTTGACTCTCAAGGTAGAGCAAAAGGTAGCGCTTACCGGACTAGCAGGGTTAGCTAGGTAGTTAGTACTATTAGAGCTGATCCTGTAAAATACAAATACTCTTGTTTTGGTTTCGTAGAAACATGTTAGCAATCATGGACGAAGACATACAAAAACGCTGGTACTGTCCAGTAGATCCCTAGGTTCTGGCCGCATGCCAATTCTTGACCAACCTTTGGTTTGGTTCACCCAGCCTGATGATGAATTCAACGGAGAAAGCATCACTATCCACCATTTGGTGCTCTCAGATGCCAAGTTTCATCTTCTGGCATAGAATCAGAACCCCAAGAACCCGCTCCAAGAAGAAACTCGGAATGAATCACACATCAGAGTTCCACACCTACTACCTACCATGTCCTATGTGAGTTACTCTGTGTGAGGTACGAGCTGATATGTTCCCACTATGTGAGGACCTCCACGGGGAACCCGAACCCCGGTCCAGGCCCTCAGCTCGCCCGGGACCACGGATGCCAGTGGCCGCCTCGGGCGGCGTCCGGGGGGCGTCCCGGAGGGTCCGGTCGGAGGTCGGATGCCAACGTGCGAGGCACGGAGGAAATCCAAAAGGCAGGGAAGCCTCCATCTTTCGGAAGAAGAGTTCTGTTCATCTTGTAGCAAGAAACTTGCAAAGTCGAGGGGGATAGAGGGGGACCCCCCCTAGAGGCGGAGAGTTTTTGAGTACTGCATTGATCTAAGACTTGGTGGGATGGGCATGAGCTCAATTGTCCTGATTAGAAGCTCCAGCTTTGCTGCCTTTCCTGCAAAATGAGTTTCTGTCTTCATGAGGCAGAATGTTTATCCAACGCTCACCAGCCAGCCTAGCTGCCAAGATACAAATGTCGTTTCAGAGTTTGGTGACTTTGTGTTTCGCTGATTTGATCATCAAGAAATCGATATAGCTGCTAATATATAGCTCATGACACATGAATGTGTTGCGGTAGCTGTGGTAGCATCATGTTTCTTCCTGATTGCGCGCCCCCACAAAATGACTGAAAGAGCCTCCAATCTGAGACCCCCCAGGCACTCCTTCCTCCTTGTTGCAAGAGCTTCGTGGAAGCCGAAGAGGGCAATGGGGCCCAAGAGGAATTGGGGTAGTGACCGCCGCGAATCCCCAAAACCATACCACATGAACTCGGCGTTTTAAACGATTCATGAAGCGTTCATGGGGGTAGTTTGAGAACTGTTGGAAAGAACGTGTTGTTGCACGTAGCATAATTCTCAAGCTGAAAAGCACTTCCAGGAAAAAACACCATGCACATCCAATGTCAGAGAGCGGTTGTGTTCAATTCAAGCCATCCCATGTCATACTCAACGTTGTATTGTACTGTAACTCTTGAAGCTGTTAGCATGCATCAGCCCATGTTTGGGTATTGGGAATTGTGTCTCAGGAGCAGCTTGGGACTTATTCAGGGAAGCGTACTTGTGCACACTCATTCCAAGACAGATCCACTACAACCCTCCAATATCTAATATGACTCCTGAACTGAACATGTAAGCTTATTATGATTTATATATATTCAATTCCAATGATTTTCTGATCTCATTCAATTCTCAGTTAACTTCAGTATCTCATCATTCCACGCTTGCAGGCGGACTCGCGCATCCTTGGCAGGCTACCACGCGGCCGGTTCGGACACCAAGAGCATGGGTAGGAGTCAATCTATAGTGACCTAATCTGGAGGATCAACTATCCCAAATATGTCCTTTTCCTATCAAATACGAGGTCAAATGATGGGTTCTAGGTGTGTGTGTATATATATATACACGCAGGATGGCTGGTGTCACGCTTTTGCCAATCGATTTGATGGCCGCAGTGTGACCTTTGCTTGATGTCAAGGTTTGAGAGCAACCGCAACGATTTAAGCTGTTAAAGCCTGAGAGAACTTGCTCAGGACTGAATGTAACTATAGCTGTCAGAACAACCCCTAAAACTTTGGAAAGTAACAATAATATGACGTAAGTTGGTTTCCCGGTTTCCCATCTCTGATTGACACAACCCATCGCAACCCATGGACTGAAAACCAATGGACTACAAAGTTTGGTTGTTGAGACACAACTTATGGACTGCTGCTACTCCTTCGCTACTAGTAACAAAGGGCATCGCCACTAGGAGCAAGGACGCTACTAGGGGCGCTCCTGGCCTTGCTACTAGGAGCAAAGGACGCTAATTACTAGTAACAAAGGGCATCCTTTGGCACTCCACACCTGGCACCGCCATGGTCTTCGAGCGAGTAGACGTCACAGCATTCTCTCCAGTGGACCGACGCATTTTGGTGCCGGTGCCACCTCCGCCCGTCTTCCTGGTGCGGGAGTGGGGCGTTTGCGGTTTTGTAGAAAGGATCAAAAGGCAGCTTCTTTTCAGGTGTCAGAAATCTTTAAATGATCTTGATGTTGAGTCTCAGGGCGGGTTGCAATTGCTCTTGTGTGGGATCTGCTGGGGTGTGGAAAATTATATGCAGATGACAGAAGTGCAAGAAGTTGGGCTCGTGTCAAGTGTGGAGAGACAGCTTTGGTGAAAGTGGGCCAGAAGCAAAGCAGCTTCGGGTGGAGATCAGAACGGGATCAAACTCCAGGGTTCTTGTTCCCCACATGCTACTGCTAGTGCGTTTGTTTTGCCATGCAACACATCACTGCCTTTGCTCAAAAATCCCGGATCTCCAGACACTTCTCCAGTGACATTCTTTACATATCCAGGTCCAGTGACGGTTCTTGGCTGATGATGTCGGGTGTGGTGTAGATCGATTCCAAGTCTTTCCGGGTGTGGATGATTTCATGGATCATGCAGGTCGCCGCATTGAGCCACCTGTAGGGAGCTTTGGAAAAGATGGAACAGATGACGATTTCCTTATGACGAAGCCCATGCATTGCTGCCCAATCACTAACAGATGGAGGCTTCCAATGTTTTCCAGGCCTGCTTGGCTTCAGCGGCCTTTTTGAAGTTCACCCGGAGTCCTCTCACTTTGCCACTTGGCAAGAAGACGGCCACCGAGCGGGACGGGCAAGCGAGGTGGGGGGTAGGGGAGGAGGGGCTGGAACATCCATGTTGAGGATCCACATAGCTAACATAGCTCTGAAGGTGTGCATAGGGTGGGTGACTCAAAGGTCAAAGTACATAGCTTCATCTAAGTTTTAGTAGCTGGATGTTAAGAAGAGATGCTTTCCAAAGACAGGTTGTTTTTGGCTTTCGGCCCGGCACAGGGCCTGGCAGAGACTGGAGCGCAAGGCATATCCGATTCTCTTTCAGGATGCCAGAAGATTGGGCAAGCTTGACCTGATCAGAACGTCAAGATGCGACAATAGCATAGACGGGCTACAGTAGTAGATTGAATATGTGTTGTGTGCTTCTTGCTTACTGACTCCTTTAGCATCCTTTAACGATCTCCTTTCGTCACCTCATTTCGGAGCCCTTGAACGTGGTCACTTGTGCCTCACGCATCCATCGGGCGCCTCATGGACTGCGGGGACAGGAGTTTCCACACTTGACGCAGACCCCCTCTTGGGTGATATCCGCATCGTCTCATATCACTTCGGCTCCAGGACCATCCTGAGATTCTCACCAAAAAAGGCCATTCGGAAGTAAGTAAGTACTCTTTTGCGGCCTCCAAGACCATCCGAAAAGCGTGGCAGCCTTGGACCCTATGTGACCATGTCCAGAGGCTGCCGCGCTTGGTGCCTCCAAGCATGCAGCTGGCACTCCGGGGCTCCGGTGCTTTGGGCGCCGCGCTGGGCGTTTGGACCCTTGGCCCGCACCCAAAACTGGTGGAGCTCGGTGGTGGAACCGGTCGTGAGGACGGTCTGGTGAGGACGGGCTTTATTGGTTCGACGGTGTTGGATCCAGTGAGGTCTTTTGTTTTGCTGAGAAAATTACAACAAGAGTGGTGGTTGGTGGTTAGGTGGTCAGCGCGAAACATTGGGATTGGCATGGGTCGGCAGATTGGATGTTGAAACAGCAACGGGACATATTTTGGAAGAAACAGCCAGTGGATTGATGTCTTCATGCCGAGATCGCTTCCTTCAAGTGTGGGGTGTTCATCAGTACTTGTCCGTCAAATTTGTTTAGAGACCAGCTAGCAGATCTCCTGGGTCGGGATCACTCCATGTATTCTGTTCGACTGCCTGAATTGATTTGACCGAATTGTATATTGAGTTTCCAGCGTGATGTCTCTGCAAGCAGTTGCTGACCGATCCTAGGTACTCCTATAAGGCGATGTACCACGTACTGGCACAGCATTCTCCTGTGGCCCATGGACACCAGGTTCAAACCTTGGTCGTCGATGGTCCATACGGACAATGCAGGCATCCCATGTACGTGGCTTCGATGAAGATCCTGTGAGTCTCTTGGGAACCCGTAGGTTGTTAGTTGGGAACTGCAGTTTGCACGTTGCTCATGGGTGTTCCTCTGGGTGTTCTTGCTCAACATGGTGAACTGAAGAGCTTGATTGCGGGGGGAGGGAGGAAAGGATGGGCAGCAAATGCAGCTGAGTTGTGGCAAGGTCAGAAACACTTCCCAGTGGGGGCAACATCGGTGGAGTCTGGCAAGTCCTTTGGCCTCAGCACTCATGCGTCAATCGCCGACCAGTTTCTGGGGATGTCACCTAGTGTGACTTAGTGGAGGAATCTCATGATATATCTATACAAGTAAGGCGATCAGAGGCTTCCTGCAGCACTTCCTTTCGCCCAAACCTCTGGCTGTGGTCCGTATCGCGGCTGAGGTGGGCATGTTGGGCACCATGATGGGCTTGGGCATCATGCAGCCACTTGGGTGATGACTCAAACTGCTCCATTTGAGGGGTGTTTTGTTTAGGATCTCCGAACACATTCCAGGTGGATGATTGATATCATTGGAAGTTTGGTGGACATGACATCGACCACTCATCTTCAGGAAACGTTCGACGTTAGACGTGGGTCTTTTGGTCTCTCAGCCCGTCGTTGCAAGCTCGCATTTGTCGGGCAATCGATATGTCCGGTTTCAGCCAAGGAACACCTGGTGGGTGGGCATCATGTCTGTCCCGTTCATGGCATACGTCGGCGGCCGCTTGGTTGAGTGATTGTGGACGCCTTACTCGTTACGTCGTGCCGTGTATCCGATCGAACCCACATTTACTCTGGGTGAAAGGTTGATACTATTTTCAGGGTTCAAAGTTCCAAGATCATTGGACAACTAATATTAAATGCATTATGATAGTATGCATTTAATATACAAATGACCCAACGCCAAATTAGACAAAATAACATAATCATACATGTTCTTGTAATGAAGCAGAGTGCCGCAGGACAAACACATGTAACACATGCTTACTCATGCTGCCAGATAGTGGAAGCTGTCAGGACCGTGGTGATCCCCAGCAGGTAAAATGAAACAAACTCTCCAAAACAACGTAGATGTGATCATAGTTGTTTTTGTTTTTTTGTATAATGTTGTTTTCCGTGAAGATAAAACCAGTCAACTGGTTTTGTTAGGCTACATTGTGCCCTTCGAAGAGAAGTACCTGGCCAAGGAATTCCCCGAGGAGTGGCAAGACTACGCTGCCAATGTGAAGCGCTATGGCATCCTGTAAAAGAAGCCAATTCAAAGGATCCTCGGCTTCTAAGTTTTCGTAAAATAAGATATCAACTCAAAACCTTGGATTGCTTTCGAATGCGCTTGATGTTTGTTGTTTGTGTTTGAATTAGATCGTTAATGCTTCGCTCTGGCGCTTGTCCAGACTCAAGCAAGGCCGCCCACTTTCAGTTTGGGGATATAGAGTCAATCGGCCAATACCTTCTCCTCTACCTCCTTTGCTTGACTATAGCTTGCAGTTTTGACTTCGATCTCAGGTCTGTCTACGTCAAGTCGTACGAACCCACACGAGTCGAGTCGCGCGCCCCGTTTCGTGGCGAACGGAGCTCCCCGCGGAGCTCCCCGCGGCGGATGCACGCGCTCCGCGGAGCCGGTGCACGCGGGGGCGGCGCAGTTCACCGCGCCGGGCGGCGAAGAGAGGTCACACCGTGCTGCGAAGGTCAAAAGCAGCGGAGGTGTCCGTCCAGTCAGCGAAGTTGAACTGATTTTTGTGGAAAAGAGGGAAGCAGCAGAAGTCCTACTATAGGGTCCGACTAGGTCATTAAGGTTTCAATCCGTTTGGAGGGTTCATGCTGCCAAAATTGTGTCTCCTTTCAGGACTGTGCAGCAGCTTTTGGTCTAATTTGGTTGGTTAGAGCGACTCAGGACACGCCCAGCGACTCAGGGCACCCCAGTGGCATTCCCTAATGCAAGGAATATCAAAGATGATATACTATCCTGGCACGATGTTAGGCGGTACTGTTCATGGCCCAAAATTTCACCGTGTTTAAGCCGTGTTTGAGTCATGTTTGAGTCATAAGAGTGTGTATTACCTGTGTATCGCTACATGCAACAGATAGTGGTACTTGTCAGAGTTTGGTGATGATCTGAACTTCCGAAGTCGACGGCTCGCGGGTGATTTTTGACCAGGTCAAAGCCCTGCCAGGCCAGGTACAGTTCGGTGCAGAGCTGGTTCCGAAAGACCCTCCCTCCAACAAACATGGACGCGGACCACAAACTGTTGTTTGTAGAAAACTGTCTATTTCATGTCCTTCCAACAGCAATTTTCCACTTACACAGTTTTGGGAGGGAGTGGAATGATGTAAAGGAGAAATGCATAACATCGGATAATGTATAACTGGAAACCTAGCCAACTGTACAAGTCGAAGAATAAACTCAAGGGAATGAATATATGATTGAACAAAAACTAGAATGATGTTTGATGTGTATTTGTATCAGCTTCCAACATGCGCAGAATGGACTTCCGAAACATTATGTTTGCGTTCTCTAATATATCGATTCTATAGGTGTTGATCCTCCATTCCCACCCCCTTGTGGATGATTCGGTTGTTTGAGTGGCTGGAATTGCAGGTTGGGCTCCGGTCGGGGCACCGAGCGAGTTCGGAGGTTTTCCGGAACGAGTTCACCCGAAGAAGAGCGCCAAAGAGGCAATGACGAGTTCAGTGTCCCACACTTTTTGGGTGGAGACTTCCTGCAGGTAGATTCCACTCTACTCATAACGTGTAGAGTGGAATCTGCCACAGACCTGTCAGACAGGATTGAGGTTTGTGCGAAGTTGATGTTACAATCCCCGGAAGCCGCCCCGAGGATCTCCGGCCTCGGTCCAGAGTGAAGCTTCCGTTTCCTCGGCAGGCGTGGCGGGGTCAGTGGGTTTCGTTAGTGATGAGCGGGTAAAACATATGCTGTAAAGATCTTGATAGGGCTGACATAGAGGCTGACATATGCTATATCGCAGCACCAGTCGCAGCACCTAATAGAAACATTCCCTGATCTACATATGACCCGTGGGAAGTTTCTTTTACGTTTCCATGCTGACTCTTTGCTGCAAGACGACTGATCCCAGACAGGGGCCAAGCCTGGGAGGTACACCCAAAGCCCGCGTACGTCGACAAGTCGAGGGGCAGAGGCGAGGGCTGAAGTTGGGAGGGAAGGGATTAGACTTTGGTCACCTGACGCGTTCCGGTCCTTAGGTAATCAGACTTTGGCTTCGCCAAAGCCACTTTGCTGCTTCGCATTCTGCTCTGGCGGCTTTACTGGGGAGGGAGGAAGTCCCTTATTATGTCCTTTGTCACGGGAACATATACTTTGAACATCTTTGAACGATCCCTCGCATCGGCATGCTTTGACTTTTCATTGACTGCCCGGTATTGGCTGTGTAATGCAGAGGGTGAAGACTTCACCATGTCGAGGACCGGTATGGTCCAAAGTCGCTATGACCCCTGGTTCAATCCCTGGGTGCCACACTAGGCGGACAGGCGGGCCACTACCCCACCCCTGCAGTAAAGTGGGTGTGGACCGTTAAAACGCAACAAATGTCACCATGTCTATTTCAAAGTTATTTCAATAAGGATCACTTGGCCCAATGGCCAAACTAAGCGACGTTTTCTTCGCTGACATCACCAAGACACTTAACTTGGGGTGTGGGGCAAACCCGCAAAAGGAGAAAAGCAAACAAGAACCACCGTGAATTCTGTAAAAACTATGTCTATACTGTATCGGAACATATGAACATATATGAAGCAGATATCAGTGACGCCATGAGTCCATTCGTTCGCCTCCGTCTCGCATCGCTCGGGGTGGGGAGAAGAAGAACTCCGCACTCCGCATCGCTCCAGGCGCTTGCGTCGCTCTGTGGCCGCATTTCGGGCCTTGGAGCTCCAGGCGTCCGGTGTGATGCCAGAACGACCCGTCGGAGTCGAAGAAGAGGTCGAAGAAGAGAGATGCCAGGGCTGCCAGGGTGTTTGGACATGAAAGTTCCTCTACTTATCAAAGCCTATTGGAGGAAAAGAATTTGGATCATGAACAATATTTGTAGGATGCCTATCAGATTCCTCTACTAGATGACTAGGTGATGATTTTTATTGTGTAGAGCAGCAGCGAGGAGATCAGTGACCATTCAGGTTGGCAGGTTAATGGCAACGACCCTTTATGTAGAATCATAGGAACCTGTCAAGTAAGAGTAAGAAGTGCACACAACCATCGACCATAGAAACAAGTTGTTTGTCCTTTGTAGAAGTCAGACAGTCCTTGTTACCACAGGCAGACAGCCAGAAAGATGCTGCAGGCAGGAATCACTGGGGAGTTGGAGAAAGGCTGGTGGATCGGCTTGTTTAGGTTCCTTCCAAGTAATCTTGAGAGGCAGATGGATGGCAGAGAAAGTGTTGCTGCTTGTCTTTGCCTGGAGCCTATGAGCTTTTCCAAGATGGTGCGAGAAGCTTTCCTGTAAGCTTTTCAAATTGTGGTGAACATCAGGGTTTGACTGGCGTGATGATTTCGAGCTTCAGACCTTGCAGTGGGTGATGGGAACCGCATGAACAGCTTTGGTCTGGGAACTTGCATGAACCGGCCACCCGCCCTAAGTATGTGGATACACACGACAAACCTCCCATGTACCACAAGATAATTAGGGCATTTGGTTGGTCCATGTTGGTCCCACCGAAGAGCAGAATACCATAACCACAAGACCGGCAGATCGCCGTCTTCGTTTTCTCCTGCAGGGCACCAGTGGACTGAGTGAACACCCTAAGCGTCAGGACTGGCACGCCTGAGCGTCATTGAGGAAGGACAGGTAGAGGCGAGAGATTTCACAGGGTTGCCGGGTTGCTGGTCAGCTCTCTTGAGCACGTGTTTCTTCAAGTTGTTTATGGAACGAAGCAGGATCACAAGAGATTTATCCACAACAAGGACCTGAACACTTAGAACTATATTTATAAAGATATGCGTTTACCTTGAGCAAGGGATTCGCAGAAGGATTGCTTTGTTTCCGCGGACACTCATCAAACAACGCACATGTGCAGGGCCGCCAAAGCCAGAGGCGGAATCGGTTTCACCAGGGCCTGGGAGAGATTGGCAGAGACTCTCCAGAGGATTCTGTAGTCGATCCTGCTGGGCAAGAGTACGTTGAAGCTGAAGAGACAGCCCTTCAAATTTCCGTGAGCCCGTGTGTTGGGTATATATTGTTGGGTGAAACAAGTCATTTTCACCATTACACAGACAGTCATTGACAGAGAAGACGTCCTTTATTTATTTCTGCACATTGAGAATGGTCCTGTCTCTATTTACCCACCCGCATGGACGACACCTTTTGGGGAGTCTACCATATTTTGATCGTTTGCCCCAAATGGCATTGGCCGCTTCTGCTGAGCCTTCCTTGCTCGCTGCAAAAGCTTTCCAAGTGGATCCACTTGAAGGGAGCGAGCTGGTGGCTTCAATATTTGCTAGATGCGGAGTTGCCTTGAGCGTTGGATTGTCAGTTCGTACAATTTAAGTTTTTATAGTCTATTTGTCAGCTTATAGATGTGCTCTCCGTCCCCCAAAAAGACATCGCATGTTTTGATGTTCCAAAAGCTCTTCAAGACACGAGTCCGAACCTCATCAGGCCAGAAGGCGGTGCCTTGGCATCCCTTGGTGAGGCATCGGGCGGTCCTTGCGACGTTCACAGAAGATCAACAGAGCGGAGAGTTGGTTGGCAAAAACAATCAGTACGGTAGTAGAGAAGGCCAACGTTCCGAACTGGGCTTTAAGAGCTGTCGTCTCCTCTAGAACAGGAGAAAAAGATGCACTTGAAGAGCGAATTCATGGGGAAGGAGCTTCAAACAATGCCACTATCATGTTGCCCGTAGGCAATGCAGTAATCAGGATTGAACCAGCAAGAGATCCTATGCCAAAGTATACAAAATACAGATTTTGGCATATATATTTAGTATGTATAGGTGCGGTGTGTATTGAAATAGGGAGATCTCCCAGTTCGACCCCCTGGAAGAAGGAAAATAGACCTGTCTACGCATTGATTGGTTGGGGTCCCCGGATTAAAATACACACCCATATGGCACCCGCCCCAACAAGAGTCGTTCAGTGCCTTGGAATGGTATCCTCCCACCAGGCCCTGCAAGCAGCTGGCTCTGAAAGCAGCACAGAAGAAGGCGGTGAAACATAGCTACAGATGGCACAGGATGTGGAACATATGTCTACCCAATACCAGATTCAGATGTCAGATCATTAGACCATAGCATGTGGTGGTGAATCACACCTGCCTTTGTGTGTCTTGTTGTTCACCGTGTCTCAACTTTCCAAGTCAGGAGAATGGGTTCATTCCTTGCTGACAGGTACCCAAGTCGCCAGCGGCAGGCGCGCCCAAGCGGGCCAACCTGCGCTGCGGCCTGTCGGACCTTGATGAACCTACCAGTACACCACCACATGTCATAGAAAAAGATTAAGATTGCTTGGACTTCATCGACAGTCCACACGATTCCGAGAAACCTCCGGTGGAATGCCTACCCTTTTTCCCAAGTTGGTCGCGGCCTCTCAGCAGTTTACAAGAGAAAGACTAGGATGCCGATTTTGACATGATGTTGTTTCTTATGCTGAAGTCTGTGTGTAGGTGAGGTGGATGTGCTCCTCTTGCAGAAATTTTGCCGCCGGTGGTGCTGCTCCGCGTTTGCC